CAGGGGGTAGAGCGCAGAGCCGGGGGGCGTATCACACATGGCGCACACCCTCGCGGCGGGAACACGACGCTCTCTCTCTCACACACACACACATACACACGCACGTACACACACAGCCCGGCGGGCACTCGTTGTATACTCAATTCTTTCGCCGAATAAATTTGCGTCGCGGTTGAGAGATATATGGGGCGTCGCGACGGTGCATTCGGGGGGCGTATAGCAGTACATCGTGTGTGTGTGTGTGTGTGCGCGCGCGCGCGCGCGCGCGTGTGAGAAAGGGAGAGAGAGAAAGAATATGGGGGAAGACCGCCAAGCCCCACGCTGCTGGGTGAAGGAGCGGGCAGCAGCACCGCGAGATATATCCCGGGTTGGCCCCGGCCCGGGCCCGGGCCCCGTGGACCGTGTTAATCGATCAAAACGCTTGCAATCAAAGTGATGGGCTGGGGAAGGACGGGTGCGGGTGCGCGGGCGGCGGCGGGGCGGGGGGCAACGCGTTGAAAGGCTGACCCGCGCGGGCAGCAGGGCCGGGCCGGGCCGGGCCGGGGCGGCCTGTGCTGTGGCGCGGTCTGGACGCTGGCCGGCCAGACCATTGGGACTCGAATCATTAGAGTAATGAGCTCTCTCAACTAATAACCGAATCCGTAGCGGCGGTGGCCGGCGGCAGCGGCGGTGGCAGGGGGCTTTCATCTGGCTTTCGGTTTGGCGTTCGGTGTGTGTGTGTCCGCGCTGTGTGCTCTGCGGGGCCGGCAGCAGTACGCTTCGCTCTCGCTGGGTATTTGCTCGGCGCAGCCGAAGGGAGAGACGCGCAGAGCACACGCGTGTTTGCATTACATTCGCCCCCCGCGCCGCCCCCGCGCCGCCCCCGCAGGGCGAGTGGCAGAACCGGGCCGCCCCCGGAGGCTTGATTCGCTCCATACTCTATCCCACATCATCATCATCATCACCACAAAATCAAACAACACACAACATTTTTGGAAAACACTTCATTATTATTATTACGGACCGCTGTTCCCCATGTAATGTGGTAGCCCGTCGTCGTCGACGTCCTGCTCCCCAAACCGCGGCTGTTTACTTCCAATAATTATTTTTGCGTAGCGGTGCTTGGTACACCTGATCCCGCCGGTCCAGCCGAGCATGATGGGGTTGCATGAGCTTCCATGTGGACCGCCCTGCCCGGGTCCCTCCTGCGGTGTGCACCGGGCGGCGCCGGACTTGAGTTTCACCGGCCAACGCCGTATGCGAGCGAGCGGGGCACAAACCAAAAAGAAAAGAGATGGAATGGAAGGGGGGTAGGGGAGGGGAGGGGACACAAAAGGTGCCCCCGCTGCCCGCTGCGTAACGTCGCTCTGGTTTTGCGGCGGGGCGGCGCCGCATCACTGGAGGCTGCTCCAGGGCTCCGGGGCTCCAGGGGGGACTCCAGTGTGCTCCAGTGCGGCCCAAGCTCGCCTGACGGGTCGCGGTGTAACCGAGACGACCTGTGCGGCTCCCGTGCGTCAGTGTGTGCCATCATGTGGTGCATGCAGACAATATATGTGTGGGACACAGGAGTCAGTGCAGAGAAGCATATTGTGGAGAGCTGAGACCCCAAAATGTAAATTTAGTGTTGTTCCTGTACCTTCCTGTGGTTCCTCCCGGACCTCCTACCATGCCCCCTGCTCCGCCTCGCGCCCAGTTCAAAAAGCCCGCCGCGGGACGCGGGGTATCGCCCCGCCCGGAGCTTTGAGGCGTCGCCGCCAGAGGTCAGCAGCGGCCGACAGAGCGTCGCAACTCCGTTCTGCGACCGGCGCGGCGGCCAGCCCCCAACTCTCGTGGTTAGACTGTACCGCCATGCACGCGTGTTGGCGAGTAGCCTACTCGCACGGGGCCTTCACGCTTCACGCTCCCTATCCTGCTATCGGGCGTTTCCGAATGGGTCGACGCGAGCTGGGGTCGTGACCCTCAGACCTGCGCCCCTCTCCTGGCTTGGCCTGCCGAATGGTGACACACACCACCGCACTTGGAATTGGAAAACAGTATTTTTCTGTGGAATTTGCCTTAAAAAGAAAAAATTACTTGCTACAAATAAGAAA